TTGACAAAAAATTGTTGATACAGTGTCCTCGGCAGACGGATATCACATCTATAAATAGCCCTGGAGACCATGAACCAACAGAAGAAACTCTGTAGACTAATGAAGAATGACATAATGTGTGGAATAGACATTAACTCAGACAGGAATAGACAAAGTGATCACAATGTACTCCTGCATCTGATCAGACTGATAAATTACTCCATTGCGTAACATTTTTAATCAAGTGCAAAAGTTCTTAATGTTGTATGTAAGATATATATCACCTTAAGGACAAAGCTACTGTCTGTGAAGGTGTTAATTTATGCCATATCATTCTGATACATTACATTTTAGTCTGCAGCATAAGAACTTTTATCTTGCTTACAAAAAAGTTCTCTGAAAAAAAAAGTATATTTTTATTGAAGCAAATTCGTTGCCTTGATTCTATGTGCTTTGGAAACAACTCCTTTTCATCATTTGTTTCTCTGGAAATGTTTTTCTGTCAAACAGGGATGTATATATCTGCCACTTTGTGACTGTCCCCTGTCTTTCCCATACTATTTTTTCGGCCCATTATTGAACGAAATTTCATACCTAGCGGTGTGCAATTATAAGCATGTTCCATTTCAATGATGTTTCACATTTGTCCCCTAAAAGATTAATACCTTAATTTTCTTTCTGAAGTTTGAAAAGGTACATTTAGTGTAGTTATAGATTTTTTTGTGGTGCATACTATTCTTCTCAGCAGCCACTGACAGGAATTTATCAAAACTTTATAGGATTTTTCACTACTTGTGCTTTTTTCACTTTTAGGGGAATGGTGGCAGGGATCATAATGAGAGGGGCAACTTTGATTGCATCGGGGAGGGACATTTAAACTGTACACTCTATGTTTAAATTATAATACAACACTAATATCTTTTCAAACAACAATGCCCCTTTCTATCCCACTCATAGTAATAAAAATTTTTTTCAGAAATATACATACTTTTTGCGGAGGGAAATAGGGCCTAATTTTCGCTGAAAACGGTCTGGTTCTATGATATTTTTGCAGTTACGCACTTTCAGTTGTCATCATTTTTTGTCTGGGACACCACTCTTAAAAGCCACAATATGGATTGTCTGGTTTGCTTTCTGAATGGATCTATTATCTGGTTATTCCCTCATTTACACATTCTACCTATATATACCTCCATGTGCTACTTCTAGGGAAGCAGCCATCATTTCCTTGGTTGTAGCATTTTCTGCAAAGTTCTATGTATGGTCTCAAATAGAAACAAGATTTATCGTAATAAACATATAGTGGTGACATAATCATGTCAGCCAAAAACTTTTTTATAAACAAATCATTTTTTGGAAGAGGCTGCGGATCTCTATGCTTGTAAAAGTGGTGGACGTTGAAAGGATATCTGCATTATCAATTAATATAAAAAAGTACTGCATATTATGAAAAAATAGTGGGAAAAGTTATATGAATTCACTTTTGATCTTGTCAATGTAAAGTGATAAAAGTGTCGAAATCCTTTACACCATTTGCACCTATCACTAGTAACTGGTCAGAGTGATTTGACAGTAAGGTGGTCAGTAGGCTCATTACCTGTCACATTGATGACCAGTTATTGGTTATTAATAGAATATCAAATATTACATACAAGTAAATTAATTATTGATTACCAATTAACATTGAAGTTTTGTGAGATGGTGAATCAGCCTGGATTTTCATAATTACCATACACTGTCTAAAAAAACAAAGGGAAAATATCAAAAATTAAATTTTACAAAAATAAAGGGAACCCCATTGTCCCTATACCCCACACCAAAAATAAGATATATCATAATTTATTTTTGATAATATGAAGAAGATGCACAGTATGTTATTTACTAAATACTCAGAGACCACTGCAGACTCCCCCACCCCCTCCACCCCTCCTTTATCTTCATAAATAAAGGGTAAAAACACTGAAAGACACAGTTCATTCTTATGTATGACTATCTTTTCTTAATGCTTGTACAGTGATGAATTGAAATCAGTAAGTGCACATTTTGACATAAAGTTGGTACATTTAATTAATGAATTGACAGGTGAAATACTTTTCGATTATTCATTCCAATCATTAGTGACTTGAAACACTTCTTTGCAGTCATGAAACAGCCCTGAGAAAATCATATATTTTCAAATGTAGATTATAGGTTTTTTTATTGTCATTTAAAACCCTTGTGATACAGTTACCTGGTTACCATGGAAACCATATATGATGAAGAAGAAACTGATGACAGTTCCGACAATTCAGAGGATGTAGTGTTAGTTAAATTAGATCGAGATTTCACTTTAAAACACGACAACGATTTGTTATTTACTGATGTATTACTAAGTGGATGCAGTTTCTGTTGTGGCATAAGTGCGGAAAATTTATCAGAGTTTGAAAATTTTGGAATTTTAGCCGGAAATACTGGATTTGAATTTTTATTTGATGGCACAGTAAATGACGGATTACTCTTTAGTGGTAATGTTTATGTTGTCTTTTTCTCTCACTGTCAAATATGATTTGTTTACAAGTCAGTTCTTAATCTTTAACCTTGTAATATAGTGGTGGTTGACCTTTTTATAATTAGCTATACAAAATGTATTATTTTTGTAGCTAGATTATGTTCATTGTCAAATTGAACTCGCCAAAAATAGATGTCCAAAAATAAAAAAAAGATGCTTTCTAGATGGTCCACTAAAGATTTATCCATAGTCAGTGATGTAAATATGTAAACAAAATATTTTTGTCGAAAAGGTAAAAGTCAACTTTGTTATCAAATGTCAACAAAAGTCAAAATTATGAATATTTTATTGTCTACTAGCAGGGGAAAGTTCCCGCCCATTTGCTCAATTTATGTTTGGTTTTTTGTTTAAGGTAATTTTTGCAGTGTCATTGCTATTTGAAATTATTACTTTAAAAATGATTCTTAGGCCCATATATATATATATCCAAATGCCTTGGTTTCTATTAATTTGAACTAGATTCTGATGAGTTGATATTAAAGCCAAAAATGAAGTTTATAATATAAACAGAAAAAAATGGTTTGCTACTAATAATTTTTCATTTTGTCAGGCCTATATTTCAAAGTTACAATGCAAGTAAAGAACTTTGGTTAGATAAATTTGAGCTTTATGGTAATGCCTATTTTATCAGCTATTCTTTATTTTAACCATTTTTTGTGGCAATCATAAGCCTGCTTTCTGAAACATGAAATGTAACCATCTGCACTGTTTGCTATTTAGTTGGGATTACCCCTCAAAATGATGAATGGTTTTGTCCAAATTGAACCACTTTTAATATTAAGCATTTAAAAGTTAATAAAGATATTTTTTGTAGAACTTTTTGCATGTAGAAGTAGCCTCATCAATGAGGCTGTGACATGGTATTCAAAGGCGAATGGGGTTTAGTTCTTTTTGTGTAATATGAAATGACCTTGGGGGAATTAGAAAAGCTCCTTTTACTCATATTTTATACCAAATATTGCAAGAAACAAAGCAATTTGACATTTGTGTCAAAATAGGACAAAATAATACATGAACATTTTTTTTTCCGAAAACATATTTCTTATTCATAACAGGAAAAGAAGCTTCTGTGGTAAGCAAGAAAAGTATATGCTGTGGTAAGCAAGTAAAGTATGACAGAAAAATGAAAAAAAAAGACTGTTTATTCTCCTCTCAAATCTAAAGTGACAGATTCACTTTTTCTTGACATAAAGAAATTAAACAGATCCATTTAGGAACATGTACAATTTGTCATGTCAAAATAAAGTACTTTTGTCTTGCATGGTTGTACGAGTATACTGTTAAATAAGCTAAAAACAAAAAAGCAACAAAAAAAAAAAAAAAAAAATAGGGGAAAAAAATAAGACAGAAGCCATAGTTTTGGACGAACTTTTCATAAATAAAATAGTGTCATGTCAAAACAAATGAAGTTACTTTTTTGCAGCCATGATAAAGACACAATATAATTAATATCCATTGTAAAATTAAAAAAAAGTAATACTGTAAACGTTTATCCCGTTTAATTTTTTTATCAGACTTGCTTCTTTTGAATGTGAAAACTACTTATTAGTTGTTTTACATAGGGGTTTCTTACAATTCTGGTGGTGATATGCATAGATGTAGTACTAGATCGAGGCAATCCCACTTTGTGGCAATCCCTCTGACTGGAACTCTAACCAGTAATTACCAGATTCTCTGCAAGTGACCAACTACTGATCCCACACAGTTAATGAATCAGCGTTAAGAGACAAATTATACCATTTGACTCAATGTGCCAGATCAATTGTAACAGATAAATTTCTCATTGCCCCGATGATTGAACCAGTGGTCCCTGGGCTTTCCCTATTGGACAAAGTGAAATATATATTATGCTGTTTAGGTTGTTTTTCAGTTTCTTAATAATGGTATGAAATAAAATGTCACAGTTTTGCTTTGATTTATGACATCAGCACGAAAACGGCATTTTGCATGTATACAGTATGTATACTGCTATTTGACAGCAGCTGAAGGTCACATCTGGTCAAACGCATCAGATTTTGCTTGGCTGAAGCAAATGACTGTCTACAGTCGTAATTATAATGTTAATTATGTCAGCTCCCACATCAACTGACAGTGAGGGACTATATTAAGAGTAGTTGTTTTGATAATGAATTCTTTAGACATTTGAGATATTTATATATAACTAAGTAACACATAAATAACATAGTTATATAAATCGGCCAGGCTCCATACGTATTTACTATAGTGAGGGTTTAGGCATTTTTCGTTTTTTGGGCTTTTTATGGTCACATTTTAATATTGTGTAGATTCAGTTTTATATGGACTTACTGTTTATAATATTTGATATGCAACTTTGAGGATTGGACATATGATGTGTCAAATAAAGAAAAATCATTATAATTAATGCAAAAGTTTCATTTGAAGTTACAAAAGTAATAGATTAATTTACACAAAAACATACAAACTGTGTAAAATTTCATTTTGAAATTCCAAGATGAGTAGAGACCAAAGAGAAGATTTTGATGATTTGAATGAAAGTTCAAAGTTAAAGGAAAGAGGTCATTTTAAAAACATGTCTGCAAGAACTCCTAGATCTACAAAACCACCAGCATTGTGTACAAGAAAAAACAGTTTATCGAGAAGTTTACAGTATTTCTTTCACAGAAAACGTTCTTATAATATGAAGCAAGGCAGTGTGAATAAAGGAAAGAAGTTGTTTGAAACAATTAATGATGCAAGTGGGGTCAATCTCAATGCTCTTCCCATAAGGAGACCAAGCAAGGCAAGGGTTTGGAGCGTTAGAAATTCATTTTCTAAATCACCTATGGAAACCTTGTCAAAGGACTTACTAAAATTAAACTCACCGGCAAAAGTTAAAAAGAAAATACCAAGAAGTAAGACTTGTTCCCATGCATTTGATATTTTACATTCTTTCAAAGATCTAGTGCATGCTTCAGAGGAAACGTTAACAGTAAGGAGCCCATCAAAGAGGGAAAGCTGTATCCAAAATGCAGAAGAACAGTCTACCAAAGACAGATTTGAAACAGATAACATTGAAGCAGTTGAAAGTAGTTGGGGAAACTTTGATGAAACATCTGATAGGTCAAGGTTATCAAGCTTTGGTAGCTCAGCCTGTTACTCAGATACCAGTGTCTGCTGTTCTTTGAGCAGTTGCTCTTACTGTAACCGGGAAAGAAGTGACAGTGGTAGTATTGCCATGGAAACAGATACAAGTATGAGTACATCCTACTGGGATTTACGTTTACCAACAGAATCACCATTGTTTGGTCTGCATGAATCCAGAAGGTACTCTTTAGATGTTGAGACAGAACATCATAGCAGTTTTGGATCACCAGAAATAAGGGCTTTATTAGCTAAGAGAAGATTGTCAGAACAGTTAACAAGATCAAATAGAATGAATCAATACACATGCTGGCAGGACAAGTTTCTAAGTGCCATGAACCATAGAGCATCTCCTAAAGAATCTGATGGTACAACTGAGACGCAAGAAATGCATTCTTTAAGCAAAGACATTGATGGTAAAAGGACAATAGATATACCAAGAGCACATAAAATAAAGGAAATAAGAAGGTCAAACAGTGCTTGTGCAGATATTAAAAGATCAAGAAGCATAAGCAGAAGTCCAAGACCTAAAAGTGGTGGAACCGACTTTCCAGGTAAAGCCAATGTCAAAAGAACCAGGTCCATGGATTCCTCAAGCAGAACCAGGAATTTTCTGTCAAGAGAAAGGTATATGTCTAAGAGTCCAACTTGTCAGTTTGCATTTTCAGACATCGAGAGTTCGGAAGAAAGTGAATCAACTCATGATCCGAAAGAAAGCTCTTCTGAAGAAAGACAGCAGTCAAGCTTCAATGATACAAGCTCTCTAAGTGCGTGCTCTGTGTCTGGTTCAAGCAGTATTGAACACAATACTCCAGGTACGAAGAAGAAAATAGTTCATTCAGAGCATGTTTTAGAATGTGGATTAAACAAAAATGCTGTTCAAGATGGCCCTGAAGAAGAGTCAACTATATCTTTGCATGATATGGATTATTCTATTCTCAAAGATAATGACAGTGAATGTGGAAAAGGGGAAAGTAATGAAGAGAAAAATGTAGATGAAATAGACACAGAAAGCATTGGTCTGGTAGTGACCTCAATTGAGAAGGAATGTTCGGTAAATGATCTTGAAAGAGTAATTGTAAGTGACTGTAAGGAAGGTAATAACCCAAATGAAACAGAAACTGAAAATATTGAACTTAAAGAAGCTTCATGCATTCCAATGGTGGAGAAACCCACAATAAATGACAAAGTAGAAAGTGAGTTTGATCAAAACGAAATTAAAAAACAGTCTTCAGGTACTTTTGATTCAGCACAAAAGGGAGATTCATTAGAAAACATAAATGATGTAGCTAACCAAGAAATATTAGATACACAGCTATATATAGGAGAAAAAACTGATGTTGCTGATTCAATTTTTTCTGAAGAGATTAAGGAGGAAGATACTTTGCCTTTAGAAACAGATGACTCTGTTGTAATAAATGTTACCATTGAAAGTCATCAACCAGATGTAAAAGACCCAGGAATGGATGACAAACATAAGAATGGCAAATTTGTGTCAGAGGATTTAGGTACTGATGTAGACTCTTTGTGTTTAGAGCAGTCTGAAGTGGAAGATGAAAATTCATTTGAACACATGGCTTCAGGAGATGACAAGACTGAAACAATAGGAACTGTAGAAAACAAATCATCAGAAGAGATAATTGATCAGAGCATTGAAGTAAAGGTACGTAATTTGAACATAAACAGAGTTGAGAAAAGTAAAGAGATTGAAGAGAAAACAGCCACTGCAGATGAAACTTTTTGTAACAATTCTGCAAAATGTGATGAGAAAAATACTGAACCTGAAATTGATGAAGTTCTGAATTATTTTGATTCTGTTTTGCATGGTGAGACTGGCATTGCCAAAAGATCAGAAGAAAATGACCATTCGGTTAAAAGATCTGATGATGAAATGAAAACAGAATCTGATGTGAATGCCATTGGAGCAGATCAAGTAAGACTTGATGATGCAAAAGATGAAGGTAGGCAAACACTTATACAAAATGATAAGCAACATACAAAAAGTTTTGAACATGCAAATGATAATCATACAGGAGAGTCAATTGTATCAGAAAAGTTTGTCAACAAAATAGATGGAAAACATCCTGAAAGTTTCCCTCAAAGCTATGAAGAAGGAGAATTTATCGATGAACCTATACTTGATTATGATAAAATTGGTCATGATGGCATGGATCTGGAAAATGATTATACAGAAACACAAACTGAAGAAGCAGATAAGAGTGGTGACTTACTAGAGTTCCAAAGATTATCATTTGAAGAGGTATTGTTCAACAGTGGCAGGGTAGGAACTTCACCAGATAGCAATGAAGTGGGTGATGTATTTGAAGCTATTAATAGGGAAGTTAGCAAGGAAGAGAATAAGGATAAAGATATGATGGTCATGTTTCTTGTTGGTAAGAACTTAAAGATTTTTATTCAGTGGAAGATTATTAAGGAAAGCAGTAATGAGGAATCATAATTTGACAAATAGTGCTTTTCTTGGGTATATTAATTTTGTAGTCATAGTATATGAAGGAAGTTAAAGTTTGACCACTTTTCTACCATAAATGTGGGAATTCTCAAAAGTAAGTGTAGTGTATGTCTTTTCCTTGAAATCCTGTCATATCTTTTCCTTTAAATTAAATAAGTCTGACCTTTTGATTTAATTCCTTGTTTTGTAAAATTTTGTCCTGACTTAGTTTATCAAAGTCGTACAATTGATCTTTTAGTGCTTCAATTTAGCAGAATTCTTTTTTACAGGCCTTAAGATTGAAGGAAACATTTAGAGCTAGGTGATAAGTCTCTGTAAGATAATGTAAAATGCCAAAATTGTCTAACTTAAAGACTTGATACATTAGTCTGATGTGCATACAAACATTGGTTGGTGTATCTATCTTCTAAATTTATGAGGGTAATGTCATACAAGGAAATAAATATGAATTATGGAAATGCAGCATTTTCATAGAACAGTTTGACTTAAAGCCAAAACTAAGAATATTCATGAAGTATGATACCATTTCTTCTAAGAATTTGAAATGTCTTTTTTATCATATTTTAAGATCATACGAAGTTTATGAAATTCTTTGAAACAGTTTTTGTTCTGCCTACAGTATATTTCTATATGAAAACTGTTGTTAACGTCCTTAAAACAGGAAAGGTCTTTAAAGCAGAAAAAATACTTTAAAAGATGTGCCTAGATTGATGCCTCATGGGTAAACCTGCTAAATCTGTGAAATGGATTGTCCCAGCTTTGAATTTGGTTTGATCCATTCAAACTTTAAGGGACTTTAATATCAGAACACAAAATTTAACTACCAGTTGTAGTATAGAACCTGGCAAAGGCTCTAACCACTTTCAGAGGTCAATAGGAGTTAAAGAGTAGAAATAAGTTTAAAACATGTCAACATAAAAAAAAACATTAAAAACAGAACAGCATTTAAAAAAGTTGCATCAATTAGTAGAAATTTATGTAAATTAAGTTTATGGTTTATAAGACCATAAGTCAATATTTCCTTGCCTTAAGCAATTATTTATGTTAAATCATAAAACTACATTTTATGTATTTGTAAAAGCTTTCATTAAATTAATGCATGGACTTTTGTCAAATAAGGTAAATTAGACTTTGTTTTTTTTTTCTCCATATTTTAATGAGCTTTAAGGAGATATACAGGTAATAGAATATTGCGATTGATTAATGGGGTTTAAAAAAGTAATAACCATTCTAATTTTGTTTTTATTTAGAAATTTTTTAACTGTTAACAATACTAATGACAGGGTTATTATGCAATGAAACTGTACTCTTTTGAACAAACCTACAGCCTGCTGTTGGCATCATACATTTACCAAGATCTGCTGGTACATTGGTGCCATGTAAAACACTCATTTAAAAATGGTATTAGGCCTTAAGTTTGGTACAAGTTCAAATTTGGACAAGTTTGTTTCATGAATTTAGCTGAATAAGAATTAAAGAAAAATAAGTTTCCTTGATTTCTATGCAAGAATACAAATAAAACAAAAGAAAATTATAATTATGCTTTCATTGAGGTATTAACCTTTAGACTGCCATATCAGCTGAATCTTCCAATGTGGCTGGTGCAGGCCAAGATCAGATGGCATGGCTGCCTTTGGTCAGTGCATTTGAAATTTAAAAATTGCCCTGTAAAATAATGAATAAATGTTTTCTTGGTTTTTCCATAGATAAAAAAAGATTGAAAAACGGGAAAAATTTAAGTTCACTTTTTAGCATATTACACCGAAGTAACGTTGATTAATATTCCATAGGAGATATAAAACTTTTCTATAACCTTGATATAATATTTTCCAGGAACAAAATTTTCTTTCTGGTATAGTGGTCTTACAAGAATAATATTCTTTAAATATTTGCTTTTATATTACAGTTTCCTGTTCTAAGATAAATTCTTTTTGATGTCTTACCAAAATTCTTGTTTCCAAAACATTGCACTTTTTATAAGATAATTTAAGATAATTGATAAAGAAATATTTTCTTTTCAAGAACTTTTTTTTCTCATTTTTTTTTTTTTTTCAACTTTTTTTTTTGAAGCTTTTTTATTGTTAAAATAAAAAGGATTATCTTTCCTCTGTAACATCAAAAAGAAAAGAAAGAATATTCGTGTATCAATTATGATAATGAGTAGGTTTATGTGTTCTAGCGTATTTAAAACCACTTAAAAACCTATTGTGCCAGTGTAAAGAGGGGAGGTAAATCAATCAGTGTGCTGCAGGGATATTATTCATGATGTTATGAAAACTTGTGTTGTATTGATCAATAGCCGACCTTGCGATTTTATATGTGTGCTTCCCCATTCATTTGTTTTTATGATATTTTCCAATCGGATACTGAGCTTTGGATGATTGAATGTAATTCATTAAATCAAGTGTTTGGTTTTATTATTTAGTGTTCGGAATAATGTAAAGATTCGGGGAAAGTATTTTATTCTTCTATGTAGTGACCGTAACTTACATTGTAAGTGAGTTTGTGTTTTGTTATAATCTAGTTTTTATATTTCTGTCCATTATTTATTAAATGAAAAATGGCTCATTGGCAGGTAGTGATTTTATTCGACAAAACTAAGGTAATGTTTTTGTCAGATGTTGGGAAGGAATAATTTTGTCAATATATGAAAAGGCTATTTCAGTGTTTTACCTGAATAGGGTATGTGAATAACTGACCAAATTTAAAAGTATATTTAGATGATGAGAGAATTACTGTGAGGGTTGACTATTAGCAGGGGTTGAGATGTTTGAAGTTGATAAGTAACAAAAGAGACACAATAATGAGTGATTGACTGAGTTATTTGATGGATATAAGTAACTGATAGAATAAAGTAGGACTGCAAGAATAAACATGAGTGACTGAGTGAGGGAGAGACTCAGGTTGGATGGACATTAAGTGCGTTATTGAATAAGTGAATAAAGTTTAGTAAGTGAGTGAATGGGTGCATTTGTTTGTTTATTCTTTTGTTTGTTTGTTTGTTCATTCATTAATGAGTGAATGAACTGGTGAGTAACTGAGTGAACTGAGTGAATCAACTTGAGTTGAGTGAGTAAATAAGAAAGGGAATAAGTGAATGTAAACAAAAATAAAATAATAAGTGAAGCAGGGAAGTCGATATTGATAAAAATAGTGAGCACTTGTCAGTTTGTACAAGTGATGACTTACTCAAATACGAGCGAGTGACAGACTGAGAGAGTAAGTGAGCTAAATGTGATATGGGGCTAGAGAAGTTAGCAGGGAGTAAGGGAGGGAGACACATATTGAGTTAATAAGTGAGATATTTAGTATTAGTATTAACAAATGAGTGAGGGAACGATTGAAGCAACAAGAGACTGATTAAATAAAAGCGATAGTGAATTTCAATTATCCTGGAACAAAAATCAGCCTAAGTACATGCCGGAGATGAAAATATAATTAAATTTATTTAATCATTTATAAATACAATACAGTTCAGTACAATTATAATCAAAGTACTATAATATATCAACGTGCAGTCAGACATTAACGTGCAGTCAGAAATTATCATGCAGTCAGAAATTATCATGCAGTCAGAAATTAACATGCAGTCAGAAATCATCATCAGTTTGAAATTAAAATCATGAGTCAAACATTAATGAGTCAGAATTAAACATGCATGTTTGAAATTATCATGCATTCAAAAATTAACTCATTTAATAATTATCCTGCATATTACGGGAAATTATCATGTTTTTCAAAATAACAGCAGTAGAAATTTATTGCAGTCAGAAAAAACCCATTCCTCTTAGCTTAATTGTCAATCAGAAATAAATTGTAACAGTTAGTATTGGGTTAATCTGTGTAGAAAGTAAACAAAGTTAAACATTAATTGAGTTGTGTACATGTCGATGTTTGAAATTTGATCATCTTATTACAAAAGTAGTGAGTGACTCATTTAACTGAGGCTGGATATAGCCTGTCATATTGACTGGGAGGAAATGATGTTGTTTAGGAAAAGAGTGAGAAGATAGAAATATTGAATACATAAAAACCACTTCCTTCTTTATGCTCTATCCTCTCTTAAACAATAAGATATTTCATTGTATACAGTATGAACTCTGGTTTCAGATCATATGTATGAAATGTATATACTTTCAGGCTGTGGGATTTTTTTTATTGCCAGTTTTCTTACAGTTCAGTAAATAAGACAGGTTTTTTTATGGGAAGTTGTTGTTTTTATGATTAAATGGTGTAATTTCGAATCAGGAGGCTGTTTGTATTTGTACTAATTCTCTTGCTTATATGAACCTGTGAACTGTGTAAGGTTAACAAATCGGATTATTTAGATTTCTTTTTTTATGGATTATTAGTGTGAATATTGGTAGGTTTTATTGGATAGTTTTTCACTATCTTATATGTTATTCTGTTTGATTTGTTTCTTAATAACTGTTATAAGCTCTCACACCTATTCCAGTCTTCCTCTACAGTTGCCCCAAGACCTTAACACTGTTGGTGTGGTTCAAACCCCAACAAGGAATAATACATACATGTATATATAAATATCAATGCTCTATCTGTGTTTAAAGAAACTGAACTGAAGAAGCTGGTAGTCACTTGCCTATACCACCATAAGAGAGCCAGGCCTGCAACCTCTATAATGCCAGTACTGTCACCACTAGAGAGCCAGTACTGTCACCACTAGAGAGCCAGTACTGTCACCACTAGAGAGCCAGTACTGTCACCACTAGAGAGCCAGTACTGCCACCACTAGAAAGCCTAGTACTGTCACCACTAGAGAGTTAGTACTGTCACCACTAGAGAGCCAGTACTGTCACCACTAGAAAGCCAGTACTGCCACCACTAGAGAGACAGTACTGTCACCATTAGAGAGACAGTAACTGTCACCAATAGAAAGCCAGTACTGTTATCACTAGAAAGCCA